AACGCCCGGGGCGTTTATTGTTGAGAGAGGGGTTTTAGTGGGGACGTTTGTTCGAGAGAGGCATATATTTTTTTGGTGTAAAATGGATACGTATAGCTATACTTAAATAAACGCGCCTTAATTTCACTGTAAATTGGGATTAAGACACATAATTACCATAAAAAATGTGTTATTGTCTGATCATAAAGACTTATTGTTCCCAACAAGGTTAAAAGAAAAAATTTAATTCTACTCGAGTAGGACATAAATAGAAGATGTTGAGAATAACGTTGCTTCCATTAGATAAGCCTATGTTTATTTTCATTTGAGGTGAGGGGAGGTTTATTCGACGCAAAAACTAAATGCCCTGGGGTTATCAAGGACGTTACCAGTGCGGAAACGTTATGTCTCCAGTTTAGAACGTCGGGTAGCCAGCAGAACCAGTTTGGGAAGTTGAGTGTGTACAACTTGGTAGAGTGCGTGTGTTATGGCTGCGTACAAACCAGTGACGTAACGGCGGGCCAAGGGACCCGGAAGCGAGAAAATATATATCAGCAACATATTATTGTCGCTCATGAAGTGGCCGACGGTGGGTAATCTCCCTAGAGATAATTGTTAAGTCTGAAAAGGCTGAATTTAATATTAGACAATTCCAAATATATCATTTTGACTATTGAACAATATAAATAACTTTTATTTTGCAAACACATTTTAATTAAATTAGTATAATTTTTGTTATCAGATAGGTCAATGCATATAAATCATCATATTGCCATTAGATTGCATAAGTTAATGCTTAATCTGGATGCATTGAAGCGACATTGAGGCTTCGCCAATATAAGCATTTTCAACCAATTATTCAGTAAATTAATCGATATTTTTGTCGCCATTTCATCATTTAACTATACAGTACACTTAAAATTAAGAGACGGACAAACATTCAATTTCAAATGGATCAAGTTTTCTTTGGGTCATCGTAGCTTGAAAATACCAGTGTAAAAACGGTTATGTACGGTAACAAAATTAAATTATTGTTTAGATAAATGCACTTCGGTGCTACGAATTATGTGCTCTGAAACAGGATACTATTCGATAAGGCCAATCTGAATCAAAAGAACATGTGCTTTACGTTCCAGGTGCATGCTTTATGTTCCAGGTGCTTTATTAAAAAGGTTTTCATGGGCCCTGCGTATCATGCATGGGCTGCAAATTGTGTAAAGAATGCTGCTGCAACGTAGCTCCTCCTTCATAGTAATACTTTACTTTTTTTAATATCAACAGTAAGTTTATACTGTAATTTGACATTGGTTATTTTTTGAATAGATGATGAGTCTCATAGATTGCTAGGGTATTAGTAGAAAGGAGACCTCCCCATTCTCTTTAACTAGGGACTGGAGCTTTGCCCCTGAGTGCACGTCAGCACACTTGGTCAAGACTCTGTGTGACAGTGATGGGTAGCAGACAAATTACGAATAAAACTTTATTACAATCACGTAAAAACGATTGAGGTTTAACTAAAAACTTCATGTGTTTTCCCCAAAAATCTAATCATTACCAGAAATAGCAGATACATCTATTTTTCCCCCTGGAAATTGAATAAAATAAAATTTAAATTTTTTTTAAAAGCACAACATTCCTCAACAATTAAAATGTGCCGGCCGACCTTTGCGCCTCAAATTGCTGGTGCGGTGCGGCTGTGCTGGACTTCCCACGTTTTTATATTCGGAGGGTTACAGTTCGATAGCTAGGCCTACATGATTTATATTTTCTTCTATATTATGGACATCGTTTTTTGTTTCGAAAGTCGTGTCTACCAAACTAAATGTTATTCTATAGTTGGTTGCAATTTATTCCCATTCTGGAATGGCTAATTACTATTATTATTATATTAATATTATCAATAATATTGGAAATACTGTGTAGTAGAAACATAGGCGTAGATAACAATAACATACAATCCTCATTTCCCGGTTAGTAATTTCCATACCCACCCCCACCCCACCCCATTCCCCATATAGAAAACAATACGACATAGGGCTTATCTTATTTATAATATAGGCCACACACGTGTGTTTAAAACTAAATATAAGCATTTTCATCATGGTTTTATTTATATATTCTTTCACCATCTATACACATTGAGGCCCTTCTTTTAGGTTAAAATGATCTATCTTAAATTTGTCCTTCTTGAGTTTGGGACTATTATGTGTTTACATAACTTAAAAGGATAAAACTAAAAAAGCCCTAAAAAAATTCGCGCCAAGCGCGCAAAATATTGTTGTGTTTTTAATTCCAATTTCGTCGGAATTGATGAAAACTTCTTAAAATGTGCAATTTATAGGGGAAATTGGCCTACCGTAACAAGAAATGCGCACAAAGAATTTGAGAATTTTAGGCACTTTCAGAGGATGCATTTGTCAAGGGGTGGAGAGAGATTTTCCAAAGATGGATATTTTCCCCTTGTCCCCCGGTGTTTTTAATGTTAATTTCGTTGGAATTGATCAAAACTCCCTAAAATGTGCAATTTTTAGAGGAAATTGGGCCATGTTAACAAGAAATGTGCGCGAAATTTGAGGTTTTTAGGCACTTTCAGGGGATGAAAGGGCATTTAAAAAGGGGTAGGGAAGATTTTTGAAAGATAGATATTTTCACCTTGTTCCCTAGTGGTTACGCCATTGGGCAGCATAGATCAAAGGAGTTATGACAGTTTTTGAAGTGGAGAAGGGGTTGCAGGGTGTGTTGTGAGTCTGGTCATTATGCTTTCTTCCTTTTTATTCTTGTCTTTATTTTTCTCTTCTCTTTTTCTTTCCTTTTCTTTTCCTCTTCTTTCTCATTCCCTCCCTCTCCCCTCTTTCTTTTCTCTTATTACCCAGCCCGGTACGACGGCTTGGTCAGCCCGGTAAAAACCGTCAAGGGGAGGGGCAGTTTTCCCCCTTCCCCGCCTGTTACGACACTGGCTAACACGCCAATCATACCCACCCCCACCCAATGAAAACTATTTTTCTACGCCACTGCATATATACACCTTTCTGCTCAAAGTTCAGCATCACAACTACTTTGAACGAGTAGTACACATACCCTTCAGGTAGTAGGACTGTACAAACTTTGCGACTGGACAGGTTCATTTACACTCTCTGGCTAAAAAAAAAATTGGTGTTCACGTTCCAATATTCTACCCTTGTACAATTCCCATACCGTTGTGTGCATCAAAACTCCAAATATCACACGTTACAACGGTGGAAAAGTTTGCAAGTCGAGTGAAATTACACGGGTTAGATGAAAAGGATGGAGGCTCTGATAAAGATTAGCTTTAATTTCAACATTACAATTAGTTTCTTTTTCACATGATTTTATCTAAAAAATAGAATTAGCAAGTATTACACAAACGGTATCATTATCGTCGTAATTGTATTCACCATCATCATTATCATCATCAACATCTTCCTCATCATCACCGTCATCCTCATTCCATTATCATTCTTATCATCATCATCATCATCATCATCATCACAATCATATTATTATTATTAATATTTCTATTATTATTATTATTATTATTATTATTATCATCATCATTATTATTATTAATTATTGAGAACGTGTTGGTTTATCATCATTTTATCATTATTGTTATTATTATTATTATTATTATTATTATTATTACTATTATTATTATTAAACAGTATCATATTTAAGATTATTTAATTTACCGTAGAGAAATAATGTTGGTCCATTTGGAATTTTGATATTTTTCACTTATATTATGTATTAGGCCTATATTGATTGTGTCAAGTCTATTTCCAAATAAATACAATACGTCTAAACTGACTAAATAACAGATTATAATGGTGCGGTTTACCAATAGGATTTAATGCCGTGACTTGACTAGCAATTCCTTGTGTTGACACGCCGTCAATATCAGCATTTACTGACACAGTCACATCGTAATGTTGGTTGTAATCTATCGACGAAATGTTGATTTCTATCCTAGTTTCCTTAATGTTATCAATAGTTGCTGCTTCATCCGGTGATGCCGTCTTCCAGTATTTCAAAACGTAACTGCTGGCATCTCTGTTACCGAAATCATAATCTCTGTCCCAGACTGACCAAACTACGCTGATACTCGAAGCACTGTACTCGATGAATGGCGCATCGTACAGTCGTGGAAGTGCTACAAAACAAAAACTCTTCAATTGAAATTGCTATAAGTAAATATTTTGGGAATGCTGCAGTTTTATACAGTATGACACTCACAGAGAAAAAATTATTTGGTATCTGTTGCCAATGGCATGGGAGCATTCAGACTAAGGAGCAGCCAAGGGCTTTTCACAAGTTCTACTAAATATCGCTCAGTTCATTACTTTAATTTCAAAGCTGCGATCTACAAGCTTTTTTTGAGAATTTCCGTTGGCTTTATGCAAAAAGAATATAGGTATTCGTGGTCTAAGGCCATATAAAAAAATAATTGGTTAGCATCCCCTCCCTACCATCAGTAAGGCCACCAACCCGATTTATTTCTGATTGTTTTCTTTACAGAACACTCACAAACGCCATTTAATATAGGTTTGTTTACCACCAGTCCGCAAACTAGCCAGATCACTCAATTCTGATTATATTGATCAATTGTGCGTGATTATATAGAAATAACTGCATTATGACTCTTGTTCTTATGTTTCTGCTTGCTATAGATGAATTTTAAAAAATTTGTATGCAATTTTAGTCTCTATTGTTTTCTTCTTTGCTTTGCTTTTTTTTCCTTGCGACACTCTTTTTTCATGTTTGACAAGAAAAAACCTCCCTCCCTACCATGAAAATTGATAACCTAAGGATGCTAACCAATTTTTAAACTTTACATGGCCTAATGGTTATGATACTCTAATTGATAGCGAGAGGTTGCAGGTTTAAATACCACCAGAGACTCATTTTTTCATACAACTGATATAAGGGAACTTTTCGTTGATATATACTTGATATGATTATTACAACATGTTCCTATTTGAGAAATTTATTTATCTATTTGTCTATATTGTGTCATCAAGCTGGTTCAATTTTAACTTGACTCTTCGACTACAACACTCTCTCATCATATCATTCACAATTACACCAGATAAACTGCAACCACTCATGTTAAGAGTCCTCAGTGTAGGAGCAATAACCAATAAAGATGCTAATAATGAACCATCAATGTTGCTGAGATTATTATTACTGATATTGAGCTCCATTAAATATAATGTGACTCCTGCACTACAACACTCTCTCATCATATCATTCACAATTACACCTGATAAACTGCAACCACTCATGTTAAGAATTCTCAGCATAGGAGCAATAACCAATAAAGATGCTAATAATGAACCATCAATGTTGCTGAGATTATTACCACTGATATTGAGCTCAATTAATTCTAACTTGACTCCTGCACTACAACACTCTCTCATCATATCATTCACAATTACACCTGATAAACTGCAACCACTCATGTAAAGACCAATCAGTTTAGGAGCAATAACCAATAAAGATGCTAACAAAGAATTATCAATGTTACTGAGATTATTACCACCGATATTAAGCTTCAATAATTTTAACTTGACTCCTGCACTACAACACTCTCTCATCATATCATTCACAATTACACCTGATAAACTGCAACCACTCATGTTAAGAGTACTCAGTTTAGGAGCAATAACCAATAAAGATGCTAATAATGAACCATCAATGTTGCTGAGATTATTATCACTGATATTGAGCTCCATTAATTCTAACTTGACTCCTGCACTACAACATTCTCTCATCATATCATTCACAATTACATCTGATAAACTGCAACCACTCATGTTAAGAATTCTCAGTATAGGAGCAATAACCAATAAAGATGCTAACAATGAACCATCAATGTTGCTGAGATTATTATCACTGATATCAAGCACATTTAATTCTGTCTTGACTCCTTTACTACAACACTCTCTCATCATATCATTCACAATTACACCTGATAAACTGCAATCACTCATGTTAAGAGTACTCAGTGTAGAAGCAATAGCCAATAAAGATGCTAATAATGAACCATCAATGTTGCTGAGATTATTATCACTGATATTGAGCTTCATTAAATTTAACTTGACTTCTGCACTACAACACTCTCTCATCATATCATTCACAATTACACCTGATAAACTGCAACCACTCATTTTAAGAATTCTCAGTATAGGAGCAATAACCAATAAAGATGCTAATAATGAACCATCAATGTTGCTGAGATTATTATCATGGATATTGAGCTCAATTAATTCTAACTTGACTCCTGCACTACAACACTCTCTCATCATATCATTCACAATTACACCTGACAAACTGCAACCACTCATGTTAAGAGTCCTCAGTTGAGAAGCAATAGCCAATAAAGATGCTAACAATGAACAATCAATGTCACTGAAATTATTATCACTGATATCAAGCACCTTTATTTCTGTCTTGACTCCTTTACTACAGCACTCTCTTATCATATCATTCACAACTGCACCTGATAAACTGCAATTTCTTAATGTAAGCTCATTCAGTTCAATAGTAATAAGTAAAGACACTAATAAGAAACAACTAATATTGAGGATATTAACAATGATTTTAAGGATAAATAAATTATTACCATGGGAAACACTATCATAAATATAGAAATGGCATGATGAACTGTCATTGCTTATTGATAAAAAAAAAGGTTCAGAAGTAATTCCCAAAAATGATACAAACAAAGAACCATCAATGTTACTGAGATTATTACCACTGATAATGAGCTCACTTAATTCTAACTTGACTCCTGCACTACAACACTCTCTCATCATATCATTCACAATTACACCTGA